ATATGTTACTTTTTTTTTTTTTTATGCAGCCCAATGCTAAGGTTGTGGGCTCAACCCATAAGGAGGCGTGACAAGTTGCAGGACATTTTGCCTGGTATCAGTTTTCCCCCCACCAACTGTGAAATTTGATTCAAAACACTGCTTCTCATAACTGTATATTGAAGATTGGATATCTTCTGAATGACTGTTATTGTGTTTTGTCAAGCAGCAGTTTCATGTTCAGAGTGGATGGGCAAACTGCTTGTTGCTGAAACTTGTTGCATTGTATTTGGTTTAGGAAACAGTATTATACTTATTACACCTGTATGATCACATCAGTATGGCATTCAGCTAAAATGGATTTAAGAGAAACGATAAACAATAAGAAATGAGATCAAATATAAGATATCAGAGATGAAAGATAAAAGGATAGCAGTAACACTGAAGAACAGAAATAAGGGAACTGATCAAAGAACAGACGTACAAAAAAATTATAATAAGGATATAGGAACAGAGACAAAAGCATTTTGATTTCTTAAGAAAAGCTTTGAGCTCCAAAGCATTATATTCAGTCAAGAGACCGAGAAGGGATGAATGTCTGTCTTACCTTAAACCGCTTGTCCTGAAGGACCTTTTTAATGGCCACCAGTTCTCCTGAGTCACAGAGCTTGGCCTGATAGACCACGCCAAAAGAGCCGTTCCCGATGACCTTGGTGTCGGTGTAGCTGACCTCCTGCGGCCGGTCAGGTCCTTGTCCAGGGGTCGCCACCACTGTGGTCACTTTACTGCCATCTTTATCTCCTGCAGACAGATAAAAAGAGAGTTGGGGGTTAGAGACTGACTGATGTTACAGTACAAAAAGGCAATCGGAAAACACAACAAGGTCTCAGCAGTAACAAGTTCCTGTGCTTTACGCCTTGCAACCTAAGTACTAATGTTGAGAATTATGAACCATTTTCTCCAATTATAAAAAAAAACACATTAAATCTGAATGATTTTGATAACATTCGGTTCCATTAAGAGCTCTTGAATTTTTGAATGTCAAGGATTGTCTAAGAATTTATAGATTTGTTATATATATAAACGTTTGTTTTATGCATTTGGCAGATACTTTTATCCAAAGCATATTGCAAAGTATACTTGATATTTATGAGTCCATGCATTCCCTGGGAATTGAACCCATGACCTTGGCATTGAATTACTTGTATTACATTTGAATAGACAGTGAAACATACCATATCAGCACAATGAAAGCATCGAAAACATACACCTGCTGGTGAACAAGTTCTGTACTACTCTATATTTTCCTTTCTGCATCAGTTCAATTCATGAATGAATCATTCACCAAACTTCACCAATCCTCATTCACTTTTATTATGCTATAGAGAGTGATCAAGGTATTCTTCAAGATCTCCTTTTGTATTCCACAGAAGAATGAAAGTCAGTTCTTTGGAGTAAATGATGACAAAATTTTCCATTCTGTGTGAACCATTCCTTTAATTGAAAAAACAAGGCAGCTTATCTAAATGGCTAACAGGACTGTTCTGTAAATTAGGACCAAACTGGGAAAAAACTGGAAAGAAAATCTACCTTGAGCTTATGCATTTAAAATTACTTTTCTTGGCAGATGTGTTCTCACCAAAGCGGCATAAAAGAAAGTGCATATTTGGAACTTGGGAGGATTATTTCAGCAGGTGACTTAGGATGAAAGTGATTATATTGCTTACAATGCAAACATATCACGTGAAATATAATCCTCAGCATGATGTGGAGAGGTTTTCAGAGTGACTATTCTTTCTTTCAGAGCTGTGAGGGGTAATAAACCCAAGAAATTAGTCCAGTGGGCCAAAGCATAATGCCTTTAGTTTATCTTCATCTAGAACATTATAGGGACAGATTTAAAGAAGTCATAAAAATATTTACTATACACATTACCTCTTACAATACAACTTGAGCTACAAGGACTTGGCTGAATATACTATGCAATGGTAAAAATGCGTCAACCGATTCTGCTATATAAAAAATATTTAATTCCCATTATAAAAAAATAATATAAAATGACTCATACCACGATTAAATTTAGGTCCCCAGGACAAAATCAAATCATGTGCGTACAGTGATGTATGTATGTGATTGAGGGATCTGGTCCAGTATTTGTGTCTACTTGGATCAGCTTCTTTGAGTTCCAGTTCAAAGTCCCTGTTAGCTCTGTTAAAGGTTAACCGCATAGCCTCCAATTGTCTTGTGCCTCTTCAACCCACTCACACCCACAGAAGCCCCACACAACAGATTCTCCAACGCGTCTCAAATCATGCCTCCGGATCAACTGTTTCCTAAATCTGCAGTTAGTGGCTGATTGTGTTGCAGCAGTGTATTTTTAAAGAACAGAATCAGGTCTAGTGTGCAGCTCATGCCACATTTCCTCCCTCACCACTTGAGACTCTGACAGCCAATGCCAACCGCATCGATATGCCGCTAGGGCTGGGCAAAAATATTGATTTTCCAATTAACTGTGATCTTCGTTTGAACGTTCTGATATCGATTTTTAAAATCCCAAGATTGATTTTTAAATCAATGGCTTTTTTCATCAGATTCTCATTAATCATTATTTGTAGCATCCCTTTCAATCTGCAGCTTTAGCTGAGTCAGTAAATCCTGACTGCCGGCCCATGCACAAAGAACAAAGACCTAAATACTGTGAATGTCAGCTCGTCTCATTAGTGTGTATATATATATATATATATATATATATATATATATATATACATATATATATATATAGTTCAGCCATGAAAATCTACTTGCGCTCTTGTTGGTTCATTTACTTCAATGTTCCCAGCCAATCGGATAATACTCATTACTGGATTCCTATATAACCAGCACATATTCAATAAATGTTTTGTCTGCACGATATGCATGTCCTCATCTTAGCCCACCGCCTCCCCAGCACCACCTGCCTAGATCTGCTGCTATATATGAATGTAAATGAATAAAGTTAAAAAGAACAGGAACAGCATTTAATTGAAGTAGAAATCTTTTGTTAAGCCTTGGGCAAAAAAACTGGGTGTTATTTTTGATGATGGTTTAAAATTTGACAAACAGATAAATACGGTGGTCAAGTCCTGCTTTTTTAAGAACAGAATCAGGTCTAGTGTGCAGCTCATGCCACATTTCCTCCCTCACCACTTGAGACTCTGACAGCCAATGCCAACCGCATCGATATGCCGCTAGGGCTGGGCAAAAATATTGATTTTCCAATTAACTGTGATCTTCGTTTGAACGTTCTGATATCGATTTTTAAAATCCCAAGATTGATTTTTAAATCAATGGCTTTTTTCATCAGATTCTCATTAATCATTATTTGTAGCATCCCTTTCAATCTGCAGCTTTAGCTGAGTCAGTAAATCCTGACTGCCGGCCCATGCACAAAGAACAAAGACCTAAATACTGTGAATGTCAGCTCGTCTCATTAGTGTGTATATATATATATATATATATATATATATATATATATATACATATATTAAAATTCTTCTCTTAGTGTTTAAATCATTAAATGGTTTGGCCCCTGCTTATTTATCTGATTTATTGACTGAACATCAGCCCCTCTTGTCTCTCCGGTCGTCCAACCAGAGATTATTATGCATCCCAAAGTCGAAGCTTAAATGCAGGGGTGACCGCGCTTTCTCAGTTGCTGCCCCTAGATTGTGGAATGCTCTGCCCCTCTGTATTAGATCAGCACCTTCACTTTCTGTTTTTAAATCCACGTTGAAAACCTACCTTTTTGATTTGGCGTTTTATCAATGAGAACTTTCTATTGTACTGTTTCTTTTAGTAATTATTTTGTATTTTCTTATTGAAATGTTTTTATTGTGCAGCACATCGGTCAACCCATGGTTGTGTTTAATAGTGCTATATAAATAAAATTGACATTGACATTTTGTATTATATAAATGCCTTTATTGTCCATTTTAAACTAATGCATGCTTGATGTATAAAAGTATCAATTTCTTTGGAGAAAAAAACCCCCCAAAACTTACTGACCCTAAACTTTTGAACAGTGTCCGTCATAACCCTAAATTAAATACACTTAATCAAGTCAACATAAAAATAAACCATTTTACTTCCATGATGTGATTTAAGTCAATATTGATTGACAGGTCGACAGGTTATTTTATTTTGTAATTTTTTTTAAGTGGTATAAAGAAGAATCTTTGAGTTTCTGTGTATAGCGATAACCTGTAATGGCCCAAATTATTTCGATATGCTTGAAAGTGAAAATAAAATGAATCCCGATTGTGTTGCAGTTGTGTAATCATGTAGTTAATTTCATATTGACATGACATTTAACTTAACTGAAATATTCCCAAATGAATACATATAAAGGATAGCTTGTACTTCAAGTCGAACCAGGAAATCACTGCCGATACCCAGACCCTTTCTCACCATCTCCATGGCAACTGAGATGTCTCTGAGCCTGAGAGATGTTGTGGCCCACTTGCTAAAGACTCACCCACTCATCTGCACGAATACATACGCAGAGAGTGTGTCAAGGGTGACATTCACACACTCCAAAAATAACACCATAAAATGGCCATGAGCGAATGCCAGCGCAAGTGGAAATGAAGATCTGCTGGAATGTCTAACGTAGAATTAAAGATCTTGAAGTATGACGATCTTCATTACAATGTGAAACAATTTGTATGTTATCCATTCAACGTTCTGACGTGAAGTGTTTGCTAAAGTCAAACGTGATCTCAGGACAAACATCTCGTCAAACTGGTTCATGGGGTTTTCCTTTATTCAAGACAAGAAACCACTTCAAATCTCCATCGCTCTGTTTGAATACAGAGGAAACTAGATTCACTATGCATAACTATGACAATTCAGTCAGCACTTTGACACACCAGTACTTGTTACTCCTGTCAAACAGATGATTTCAATTTCTTGCAGTTACCAGAAAGCATCTAGATTGTACTAAGAACTAAGAATAAGTATATGAGAATGATTCCTGAAAGATCATGTGACACTGGAGTGATGATGCTGAAAATTCAGCTTGGCATCACTGGAATAAATGACATTTTAAAATATAAATCAGTTATTCTAAATTGTACAGTATTTTAGTTTAAAGGCAGTGGTGAGCATAAGATTTCTTTAAAAAACATTTTTAAAATCATTAATTATTTCAATCTTTTGACTGGTATATGGCATGTGCTGGCAAAAGCTAAGCTAATGTATATGTGAATTTTACCAACTGAATGTCTTTTAAATCACAAAATCTATGAAAATATACACTTTAGTCTTGGTCAAGACTGTAACCAATGAAAAACTTTTTCAGTTGGTCAATTAAACCCAACAGAAAGTTGTAAAAAAAATAACGAAACATAATTGTGGACTGAAATGACATGATAAGCCAAGATCGAGGTTTTTGCTTCGTTTCATTTTATGCCACATTTAAGGCTGGAAATACAACAATGTGATTAACTTAAAATAACACGCTTTAAAATAAACACAATAAATGACTACATGTAAATAAAACAGTCCATATATTGATGTTCACATGAAATCAACATATTCTGCGCTTTCATGTATAGTTGTTGAAATACATCAATATCTCTTCATATACCCCTTCTGGTGACAAATGGTACCACCGATGGGTTAAACATCAGTGACTGTAAAGTGATCCGTTCAGTCACTTCTCCTCTCCTGTTTTCCATTGACGTAAACTCTTTATCACTCCTGGCTGTGGTGAGGCATGTTTAGATGTTACCTCAGAGGTATGTGATGTTCAGTGCGCTAGA